TTTTTTAGTTTTTAGTTTTTTTTTTTTTTTTTTTTTTGTTTTTTTTTTTTTTTTTTTTAGTTTTTTTTTTTTTTTTTTCAAACTTGCGTAAATATTTCAGTGTTGGTCAAAAAAGCACAAAAAAAAAAAAAAATTTTACAAAATTATATTGCAAAATTGCTATTAAGTAGTTTGTAATATTAAATTTTTTTAAAAAAATATTTTATCTGTTATGGTATCTAGTATTTATTCATAAATGCAATTTTCTTTTTTTTTTTTTTTTTTGATATAAATTTGATTGGTTACGAGTAGCAATCGAATTTATTTTTTAAATCCGAATTTATTTATTTAAATCTGTTAAATCGATTTATTCAAATAAATATTTGATTGGTCAAATTCGAGAAAGAACGATAGCAAAAATAAGTACTGTATCATCTTCTCAATTCCCCGAAAATTACCGACATGCCATTTCACCTACAACATATTTTTTCGATAAGACATACAGTATATGCGACATTACATGTTTTCGACAACCCTTTTCTTTTATAGGACAATTTTCTAACTGGACATTTGATAGTTAATATTGGTTTAAAGCAAAAAAAACTTTAAAATTTTTTGTTGTCGAAGTTTACTTTTACTGACCCACCTTGTGATATAAATTCAACTTAAGAATATTGAATGCCTTTGAAATTGCTATTTAGATAGCATGGATTTAGAATTAGGGTTAAGTATGAATTTTCACTGACAACCATTTCCCCAACACATGTTGTCTTGTCAAGAAAATAGTTGTCAAAAATATGTAATATCTGATATAATTCTTATCGAAAAAATGTGCTGTAAATGCTCGCCTGATAATTTTGCTATAGGCATTTGTTCATTAGTATAGCATGATGCTAACTCAATAGTTTGTATAGAAACTTATAGCAAGTACTATACGTTCTTATTAATGACATTCATAAAAAGTATAAAAATATATTACAAGTTATTGGAGTGTTACCAATCAGTTTAAACACAAACATAGGGCAAGACATATAGTAAAAGTTAATATTTATAATAAATTGGGCCACACCAATTTAATTTTCTGTTTAATATAAAATTAATAGTCTATAGGATAGTGGGGCTAAAAAAAAAAAACATATAAATACCAATACTGCAATTTTATTGGTTTATTTAACATGTATTAGTTATATAAAATTTAAAAAATTGAGGAGGAACAAATACTATTAATTACTATTAATGTATATTGGGTTTATGAATCAAATTGGTATGGCCTTATTAATAAAAAATGTCTTCGCGCAAACTCTTATAACTTCTGCTATAACAATTATTATAAAACGCACATATTGTGTTTTGCACCTATTATATGTTTTTATTAAATTTTTTAAATTTTCCAAGTTTTTATAAGTTTTATTATAGAAATTTTTGATTTAAATTTTTTCATCTTAGGGTTAGTTTTTAAGTTAGTATTAGGGTTTGGGAAGGGTTTTCAGGGATGTAGAACATTTTTACTTAGAACACCCCGTCGCGAAGACGTTTTTTTATTAATAATTTATTATAAACCGAAAAATCTTCACTATTAACTTTTACTATGTCTTGCCTTATGTGTGTGTTTAAACTGAGTGACACCCAATAAGTTATATTACAAAAATCGATTTATTAACTGGTTTAAAAAAATGTTATTCGAACTGATAAGGCTTTCTAAATTTTTTCATCTTTTCCATTAAATGTTTCGAAAATATAATACTTAACAGAGATTATAATAGCACTAAAGATAAAGGAAATTCCTCACAGCAAAAGGAGGGGCTGGGCCAAAAAATTTGAAATTTTATTCTTATGCTAATTTTATTCTAATCAATCTAATTCTTCAAGATATTGAATTTTTTTAAAAAAAAATTTTTTTGGCCCAGCCCCTCCTTTTGCTGTGGGGGGTCCCATATACATTATATAACTAATATCGATATATAGTAATCATGATGAATCGGATCGGCTAATTAATAGTATAAATTACAGCTGTTTTCATAAATTCTGGGCACCTGAAAAGATTGCTCTTTTCTAACTTTTCGGAAACTATGTCGCAGTTCTCAGAACTTTGATCCAGAAACAAGGTGACTCTTAAAGAGATTTCGGGAAAGAGCAATTTCTCAGGTGTCCTAGAATTTATGAAAACGGCTCATAGTCGATGTCAATTCGGAAAGGTCAATTACTGTATGTGACAACTAATAAAAAAAACAGTGAAAAACAACAAATGTCACGACACCTGTAGAAAATTTCTTTGTGGCATCTTTAAAGCTAAAACCCATATTTTATAGGACCTACAAAATTTACCTAAAATTTAAACTGTAAATGAATAAGAAACAAACTGCAAAAAATAAGTTCTAGCTTTTATTTAAAATATTATCCACAATTAAGCAATAGCTTTATATATAGATTTAGAATTAACTCAAAGTAAAATAAGAAAGCTTCCAAAATATCTTGTGAATCATGAGAAAATGAGTCTTGATAATCTAATGACTACTTACTTTTTAAAGATGATAAAAGAGGATTAAATTAAAGCTAGCAGCAACCTGCAAATAAACTCCCTATCAAATGTTGAACAAATATTGCAAACTTTATTGGAACAGCCTAAATTCTCTGTTACAATTACTAAACCTGTCATCCAATTAGAATAACATGTTGATCATATCCGCAAGAAAGATTAATAAAGAAGATTAGTTTCACAATAGCATGATCCTTTCTTTATAAAATTTTTAGTGGCAACAACTACTACGTTTTAACGAAACTTTTACACCCTTTAAATTTATTCCTAAACATTTAAATAAAGCTAATTTTCTCTTTGAAATAAAATTAATTCAACTTATTGAATCATGTTCTGCTCAATGCTATTTTTTAATCTTTTATTAATAATAACAATTGTCAGAGCTACAAGTCCAGAAAAAATTCATGATATTTGTAGCAATCATGCTTATTGTGAAATTAAATTTACTTATTTTAAAAACACTAATTCCCCGAGCCATTGCAATAATCTTTTGCTAGCAGTATTATTACCTAGTACCTGCAATAAAAGAATATGGTGATCCATTTATTCAGAACGGCTTAGGTTCGGCAACAACAGTAACAATACAGCAACCGTGGGAATTGCCACGCCCTAAGCTAGAATTGAACTCTCGATCTAGCATGGTCAAGTTATGAATATTCAAGGTCAAGATTATTGGGTTTGAAGAGACTATTAAGCATGTGTAAGTTTTTCCTCGTTTTAATTTCCTTAAAATGGCTTTTACAAAACATAAAAATATCGACTCTATATCACTCATATAACAAAAAAGCAACATTCTCAAAAACCTATAAAAAATAATGCAGAAGAATTGTATAAGCAAACAAGAAATGCACGTTGAAAACACGATTGCAGAAGATTTAAAAAAAATAAACAAATAAAATAAACTTGTTAATTCACAAAAAAGGGCGCCAGTAGAAAGTTGTGGAGCGGGATAAACAGAAAACAATCTTTCTAACATGAAGCACCAAAACCAGATCCAGTACCACCCCCTAGAGTTAAAAATTAGGAATCCTTGTAATCCAGTACAGTTATCCGCTAATTTGCGAATACGATTCATCACAAGATCAATATGTTCTTTACCAATAGTACTGTATAATGACCACGGGCATAGTTGTTAGCTCTTCAATTTTTATTAGTTGTAATAAATTCTGTGACACCTGAAAACATTCTCGATCGCAATCATCCAACTTTTCGGAAACTATATCGCTGTCTCCAGATCGAAGTTCTGAGAACAGCTACATAGTTTCCGAAAAAAATAAGGTGATTCTTAAAAACGGGATCGAAAAAATTTCGGGAAAGCAATTTTTTTTAGGTGTCCCAAAATTTATGAAAACAACTGTAAATATCAACAAATTTTAATTATAATACTATCGCTATACATTTTAAAAACCTTAATCATGAAATTAATATAATTTCGTTTTGAGAGTTATATTTTGAAATATTTTTATTCATGTATTAATTTATCAAAAAGGAAAAGAAAATATAAGATTTTTTAAATAAAAAGTTAGACAATTTTACACGCAAACTTAACCATAAAGTAACTCTTAATTAAATAATCGAAATTATATGACTACACTTAGACGTTCTTTATATTGAAAACATACCAATATTATAAAAAAATATAACTTAAATTCATTATTTTTTTCTTTTTATACAATATTACATGATAATGTCTAGACCTTGTTGCTAGTATATTTGTAAATAAATATTTTTGATTTTTATAACATGTAATGATATTTTTGAATTTTTATAATTAAAATATGTAATGAAATTTCTAATATTAATGACGAAATAATAAAATTTAGTGTTGCATCAGTCTACTAATAGTGGGAGATTTTTTCGAGGGGTTCAATTTTTTATTACGCAAGATTGATTTCAATACTTTAATTATTACCAAACCGACAATAATTAGGACTCAAAATTAACTATGGGAATTATTTTCGAAAGTTCATAAAAAAATTAATTATAAATATAATATTATAATTCCTCCGTGATTGATTCCATTTCTTTTTTACCTCCAGATTCAACCGATTGTAATGTAAGCATCGAATCCCAAACCTCTTTTGCGTACTCTTTACTAATAGCACCAAAAACAACATTAAAAACTTCATCATAACTAGCGACGGGGACACCCGTAAGACCTTCTTTAATATTCTCAGGTAACTCTTCCCAATCGCTAGTATTTGCTTTTGGAAATATTATAATAGACACACCAGATCTCTTAGCTGCCACCACTTTCTCACGGATTCCACCAACTTTTAACACTTTACCAGTAAGAGTGAGCTCACCAGTCATTGCTATAGTTGGATCTAAAGATTTAGATAATGCAAGTGAAAGAAGCGATGTTGCCATAGTAATACCAGCAGAAGGGCCTACATTGTTTTGAGACAATGTCATGCATAAACATAATGGATAAATATAAATCAACATAAATAATTCAATCGTAAGAAAATAACATACCATCCTTTGGAGTTGCACCTTCAGGCACATGGAGGTGAATTGAAGCCCTTTCAAAAAATCTGTTTTCTGAATACTGTTGTGACATTAGACTTTTAGCAAACGTATAAGCAATCGTAGAGGATTCCTTCATTACATCTCCCAATTGTCCCGTTTTAGAGAGGGATGGTTTTGAAGTTGGAGAAATAATTGAATCAAGAATAGATTCGACGTATAGCGCAGAGCCGCCTATATTTATATTATAATAAATTTCAGGAAATGTCATTCAAAGTAAATTAACAACTTAGCAATAAGATAGCAGAAACATACCCATGCTTGTCCAGGCTAACCCCATAACAACGCCAGGGGGTGTTTGATCATATAAACGATCTGAATGCCACACTGGAGGTCCAACATAATCCTTTAAATTTTCAGAAGTAATATCAATATGAACATCATCAGGTACATTTAAAGGTTTTCGTGGTTCAGTAGTTATAGAAACACCATCATTTAATTTAGTTTTCTCGGAAGTATCAGTTTCGACATTATCAAGCTCTTGCGATGGTAATTCCTCATCACCAATATCGCGAACTATTTTAAGAGCTGCTTTTCGATAAATTTTGTCAATATGTTTCTTTAAATTACGAACTCCACTTTCACGACAGTATGATCGGATTAAAGCCTCAATAGCATCTTGTTGTAGTTGAATATCCGCATTTTGCAAGCCAGCCATTTCCTTGGCAGCCGGTGCAAGATACTTTGAAGCAATAGCAATTTTTTCATCAGCAACATATCCAGACAAGTGGATTACTTCCATACGATCTAATAAAGGAATAGGTATCGTGTCTACTACATTAGCAGTGCAAACAAAGAGCACTTTAGAAAGATCAATTGGAACGTCCATATAATGATCCAAAAATGATGAATTTTGCTCCGGGTCAAGGAGTTCCAAAAGCGCTGACGAAGGATCACCTTGGTGCCCACGACCAATTTTGTCGACTACAATCAATAATGCATGATTTCAATTTGAATTTGGCATAAATACATTATTGTATTGTGGATGTCAGCGAAAGAGCAATTACCTTCATCAATCAAAATCAATGGATTTTCGGTCTGTACCTTTTTTAAGGCTTGGACAACTTTACCAGGCATGGCTCCAACATAAGTTCGACGATGTCCTTTGATTTCGGCAACGTCAGTAAGACCACCGACACTAAAACGATAAAACTGTCGCGACAGAGCTCGCGCAATAGATTTGCCAATAGAGGTTTTACCAACACCTTTAAGAAATTTCTCGTTAATATTTCACAATAAAAACATGGCTTAAGACATGCGAGTGGAAAAGTTATGATAATATTACATACCAGGAGGACCAACAAAACACAAAATTTTTCCTTCAACAGTACCCCTTAGTTTACCAACAGCAATGAATTCTAATATACGATCTTTTACATCTTGTAGTCCGTAATGATCATCATCAAGAACTTTCATGGCATGTTTGATATTGTAATTCTCTGGAGACCTCTGACCCCATGGAACCTGAGTCAACCAGTCTAAATAGTTACGAGTAACATTAAATTCAGAAGCAGCGGGCTCTAGATGAGCAAGTTTATTGACTTCCTGATTAAATGAACGAAAGGCTGAGAATGAACAGAATAGATAATTTATGAACAATCTATGTTCACAAACAATTTTGTACAAGATAAATTGAATTTACCTCATCGAATACTTTCTTAACACTATCAGGCATAGCAAGTTTATCGGCCTTTTCTTTGAACTTTTCAATAAGTTTGTCTTTACCATCTGATTCAATCCCTAATTCTTTTTTGATTCCTTTCAATTGTTCCATTAAATAATATTCTCTTTGACGCTTTGCAATTTTAGATTCAACTTCTTTACTAATTTTGCTTTGTAATTGAGCATTGACTAATTCTTTCTTTAAAACAAGTAAAGCTTTTTGTAAACGCTCCTCAATAACCAAACTTTCCAAAACTTCTTGTAATTCGTTTGGTTCTCCTGTTGAAACAGCAGCTGCAAAATCAGCAAGTTTTGCAGGTTCTTCAAAAACATTACCAGCGGATTGAGACATAGAAAAATTTGCAATTTGATCTCGGAAAAGTGGGTTTAATGTCGCTATATCTTTGAAAACTGCCACAATTTCCGATGTTATGGCTCGAATTACTTGATTTTTTCTGTTATATTGCTCATCATTGAGATTTTCAACGTTTACTAACGAGACATTATAATCTTCAAGAAAAGAAGTAGCATATTGTGGTTCAGATTCTATCAATTGAATTTAAAAATGTTTGAAATATGAATTATAATTCTAATAAAGAAGTATCTTATAAAGTAACAAATAAATACCTTTATTAGCACTCGCTTCAGGAGCTTGCTGTGCTGGCTGGGAAATTATTTCAGCTTCAGAAACATTGGCTGGTAAGGGTGGTATAAGTTCATTTATACGAATGCGTCGATGAGGATATAAGACAGCAGTCAATGAATTTTCATCATGACCACCGTTAGCTGGAAAAACACTCGTAATTTGGGAAAATACACCAACTTTATACACTTGTGCAATATCTGTAATAGTATCAACATCTAATTCTTCGTCTTTAAGTAGAAATGCACCAACATAAGGTTGCCCACGCTTCATTAATTCCTTTACAGCAGCCGTGACATGTGGATCTTTAATCACAACAGCTTTGTAAAATCCAGGGAAAAGAGGTCGTCGAGCAATAGGAAGAGCCAAAACTTGTGGATATACCTCTGGTATAGAAGGTCTTTGCAAAGTTGTTTCCAGAATGTGCAAAGTTCTATGGATATTCTCAAACGGTGATCGCGGAGAAGCGTTGTCCCCCGATCCGTCACCGCTTTTTCCTGATCCGTCACCCTTGTTTCCATTTCCAGGATTATCTCCGTTGTTATTACTGCTGGAATTATTTTGGTTGCCTCCACTACCACCACCTTCCCCTTGTCCGTTATTTTTTGATCCACTGTCGGAACTATATTTATTAAGCTTATTAAACGAAACCATTTTACGTAAATGGCGGAAGACATGACTTAAACCCGGCGAAAGGCTTAAGTGGGAACCCCCTGACGAAATTACGAAACCCCGGCGAAAGACGAAACCCCTGGCGAAAGGTGAAACCTCTCGAGAAAGACGATGCCGCCGAAACTCTGATAAAAGGCGAAATCCTAAGAAAGGCTGAGCTATGGTGGTATACGAAAGCATTTTTCAATGATATCGTGATGTGTGTATCGTGGTTATTAGATACAATTGCCATTAGACAGAAATATGGCTTATATAGAAATAAAAATAAATCTAAAACCTGACATAATATAAAAGCAAAGTAGAAAATAAAAAAATCTAACTCTACTGTTATGTAAAAGCCAAGATTTCAATTCCAAATATATAAAAACAATCAAAGTAGTGAAATCTTACATAACCATCTTGATATAGAACTTCCACCTTTATGTATTACCATTGTCTTGTCCACCAACTTTAACACTTCGATTGAACATAACCACTCCAGCCAACATTTTGCCCAAGTTTGTTTTAGTGGATCTTGTGACTTTCATGGGAGTTTTCTCAGTATGCTTTATAGAAGATTGACCATTTGTATTTAATACTGAAGAAGATTTTTGCGGTGGTGTCAATGAGTTAGAAGGTACTGAAAGTGGAGGCGAAGAAGACATGGGAGGAGTGTAAATCAATTTCGGATCTCTCGATTTGCGAGATGATAATTGTGATTTAAAATGAGGTGGAGGTGAAGTTCTTTTAGAAATCAATTGACGAGTATTGCTGATAGAAGTGGGGACGTTATATTGATTGTGATTTAAATTACGAGCTTGCCGATGTGATAAGGGCAAATCGATAGGAGGTCGAGGAGATGCCAAAGTTGAGTTATCAGTTGATAATGATCCACGACGTCGGTTAGGTCCCCATGTTGACAAATTCTGTTCATGTTTACGTCGTTCCAAACGCTCGCGACGTTGATTGTAAGAAGACCAATGACTATTATTTACTGAACTTGATGGTGTACCATTTCCGGTTGATGACTCATGTTGATTACCTCGAGACCTTTGTTCACCCCAAGGTTTTGGTTTACAATATATTACTTTTGGTGGAGACACGGAAAGAGGCATCTTAGCTGAATTGATAGGTTCATTTATTACATTTTTTTCTTGCGTTCTCTTTATAACATGTAATGATATTTTTGAATTTTTATAATTAAAATATGTAATGAAATTTCTAATATTAATGACGAAATAATAAAATTTAGTGTTGCATCAGTCTACTAATAGTGGGAGATTTTTTCGAGGGGTTCAATTTTTTATTACGCAAGATTGATTTCAATACTTTAATTATTACCAAACCGACAATAATTAGGACTCAAAATTAACTATGGGAATTATTTTCGAAAGTTCATAAAAAAATTAATTATAAATATAATATTATAATTCCTCCGTGATTGATTCCATTTCTTTTTTACCTCCAGATTCAACCGATTGTAATGTAAGCATCGAATCCCAAACCTCTTTTGCGTACTCTTTACTAATAGCACCAAAAACAACATTAAAAACTTCATCATAACTAGCGACGGGGACACCCGTAAGACCTTCTTTAATATTCTCAGGTAACTCTTCCCAATCGCTAGTATTTGCTTTTGGAAATATTATAATAGACACACCAGATCTCTTAGCTGCCACCACTTTCTCACGGATTCCACCAACTTTTAACACTTTACCAGTAAGAGTGAGCTCACCAGTCATTGCTATAGTTGGATCTAAAGATTTAGATAATGCAAGTGAAAGAAGCGATGTTGCCATAGTAATACCAGCAGAAGGGCCTACATTGTTTTGAGACAATGTCATGCATAAACATAATGGATAAATATAAATCAACATAAATAATTCAATCGTAAGAAAATAACATACCATCCTTTGGAGTTGCACCTTCAGGCACATGGAGGTGAATTGAAGCCCTTTCAAAAAATCTGTTTTCTGAATACTGTTGTGACATTAGACTTTTAGCAAACGTATAAGCAATCGTAGAGGATTCCTTCATTACATCTCCCAATTGTCCCGTTTTAGAGAGGGATGGTTTTGAAGTTGGAGAAATAATTGAATCAAGAATAGATTCGACGTATAGCGCAGAGCCGCCTATATTTATATTATAATAAATTTCAGGAAATGTCATTCAAAGTAAATTAACAACTTAGCAATAAGATAGCAGAAACATACCCATGCTTGTCCAGGCTAACCCCATAACAACGCCAGGGGGTGTTTGATCATATAAACGATCTGAATGCCACACTGGAGGTCCAACATAATCCTTTAAATTTTCAGAAGTAATATCAATATGAACATCATCAGGTACATTTAAAGGTTTTCGTGGTTCAGTAGTTATAGAAACACCATCATTTAATTTAGTTTTCTCGGAAGTATCAGTTTCGACATTATCAAGCTCTTGCGATGGTAATTCCTCATCACCAATATCGCGAACTATTTTAAGAGCTGCTTTTCGATAAATTTTGTCAATATGTTTCTTTAAATTACGAACTCCACTTTCACGACAGTATGATCGGATTAAAGCCTCAATAGCATCTTGTTGTAGTTGAATATCCGCATTTTGCAAGCCAGCCATTTCCTTGGCAGCCGGTGCAAGATACTTTGAAGCAATAGCAATTTTTTCATCAGCAACATATCCAGACAAGTGGATTACTTCCATACGATCTAATAAAGGAATAGGTATCGTGTCTACTACATTAGCAGTGCAAACAAAGAGCACTTTAGAAAGATCAATTGGAACGTCCATATAATGATCCAAAAATGATGAATTTTGCTCCGGGTCAAGGAGTTCCAAAAGCGCTGACGAAGGATCACCTTGGTGCCCACGACCAATTTTGTCGACTACAATCAATAATGCATGATTTCAATTTGAATTTGGCATAAATACATTATTGTATTGTGGATGTCAGCGAAAGAGCAATTACCTTCATCAATCAAAATCAATGGATTTTCGGTCTGTACCTTTTTTAAGGCTTGGACAACTTTACCAGGCATGGCTCCAACATAAGTTCGACGATGTCCTTTGATTTCGGCAACGTCAGTAAGACCACCGACACTAAAACGATAAAACTGTCGCGACAGAGCTCGCGCAATAGATTTGCCAATAGAGGTTTTACCAACACCTTTAAGAAATTTCTCGTTAATATTTCACAATAAAAACATGGCTTAAGACATGCGAGTGGAAAAGTTATGATAATATTACATACCAGGAGGACCAACAAAACACAAAATTTTTCCTTCAACAGTACCCCTTAGTTTACCAACAGCAATGAATTCTAATATACGATCTTTTACATCTTGTAGTCCGTAATGATCATCATCAAGAACTTTCATGGCATGTTTGATATTGTAATTCTCTGGAGACCTCTGACCCCATGGAACCTGAGTCAACCAGTCTAAATAGTTACGAGTAACATTAAATTCAGAAGCAGCGGGCTCTAGATGAGCAAGTTTATTGACTTCCTGATTAAATGAACGAAAGGCTGAGAATGAACAGAATAGATAATTTATGAACAATCTATGTTCACAAACAATTTTGTACAAGATAAATTGAATTTACCTCATCGAATACTTTCTTAACACTATCAGGCATAGCAAGTTTATCGGCCTTTTCTTTGAACTTTTCAATAAGTTTGTCTTTACCATCTGATTCAATCCCTAATTCTTTTTTGATTCCTTTCAATTGTTCCATTAAATAATATTCTCTTTGACGCTTTGCAATTTTAGATTCAACTTCTTTACTAATTTTGCTTTGTAATTGAGCATTGACTAATTCTTTCTTTAAAACAAGTAAAGCTTTTTGTAAACGCTCCTCAATAACCAAACTTTCCAAAACTTCTTGTAATTCGTTTGGTTCTCCTGTTGAAACAGCAGCTGCAAAATCAGCAAGTTTTGCAGGTTCTTCAAAAACATTACCAGCGGATTGAGACATAGAAAAATTTGCAATTTGATCTCGGAAAAGTGGGTTTAATGTCGCTATATCTTTGAAAACTGCCACAATTTCCGATGTTATGGCTCGAATTACTTGATTTTTTCTGTTATATTGCTCATCATTGAGATTTTCAACGTTTACTAACGAGACATTATAATCTTCAAGAAAAGAAGTAGCATATTGTGGTTCAGATTCTATCAATTGAATTTAAAAATGTTTGAAATATGAATTATAATTCTAATAAAGAAGTATCTTATAAAGTAACAAATAAATACCTTTATTAGCACTCGCTTCAGGAGCTTGCTGTGCTGGCTGGGAAATTATTTCAGCTTCAGAAACATTGGCTGGTAAGGGTGGTATAAGTTCATTTATACGAATGCGTCGATGAGGATATAAGACAGCAGTCAATGAATTTTCATCATGACCACCGTTAGCTGGAAAAACACTCGTAATTTGGGAAAATACACCAACTTTATACACTTGTGCAATATCTGTAATAGTATCAACATCTAATTCTTCGTCTTTAAGTAGAAATGCACCAACATAAGGTTGCCCACGCTTCATTAATTCCTTTACAGCAGCCGTGACATGTGGATCTTTAATCACAACAGCTTTGTAAAATCCAGGGAAAAGAGGTCGTCGAGCAATAGGAAGAGCCAAAACTTGTGGATATACCTCTGGTATAGAAGGTCTTTGCAAAGTTGTTTCCAGAATGTGCAAAGTTCTATGGATATTCTCAAACGGTGATCGCGGAGAAGCGTTGTCCCCCGATCCGTCACCGCTTTTTCCTGATCCGTCACCCTTGTTTCCATTTCCAGGATTATCTCCGTTGTTATTACTGCTGGAATTATTTTGGTTGCCTCCACTACCACCACCTTCCCCTTGTCCGTTATTTTTTGATCCACTGTCGGAACTATATTTATTAAGCTTATTAAACGAAACCATTTTACGTAAATGGCGGAAGACATGACTTAAACCCGGCGAAAGGCTTAAGTGGGAACCCCCTGACGAAATTACGAAACCCCGGCGAAAGACGAAACCCCTGGCGAAAGGTGAAACCTCTCGAGAAAGACGATGCCGCCGAAACTCTGATAAAAGGCGAAATCCTAAGAAAGGCTGAGCTATGGTGGTATACGAAAGCATTTTTCAATGATATCGTGATGTGTGTATCGTGGTTATTAGATACAATTGCCATTAGACAGAAATATGGCTTATATAGAAGAATTACATATACAAAAGTAATAACTTTTTTTGCTTGTATCTGATTGTTGCTAAAGACTTCGGGCTTTTTGAATTTATAACTACCGGATCAGCCCCTGAAAAATCGCATGTGTACGACTAGTTTTCTCGATTTCACGTCTTTTAATCGTTAACGTTAATACATTATTATTCTAATTACTTATGCGAGTCCACAAAATAATCCTATATCGATATCTGCCTTGTAAACATTTGCATGTTCTCTAGGGATGTTAAATTGCGAGTCCGGTCCGTTCCGGTCTAGGATTTGTTAGGATGGTCCGGGATAATAGATTTTATCGGACACTTTGAAATTTGATTATCTTGTAAATATTTATCTTTGGAAATTGATTGGCTAGTAAAATTTTTTTGGTGCAGAACGGAAATTATAAAATTTGTGAATTCTTGCATTTTGGATAGGAGCACACTATACTACTGGAAGTATTTTTTTTTTTTTTTTTTTCCTTTGACAGTTATGTCATAAACTTTATTAAGTTGTTAACTAAGGCTTTAGCCAAGTTACATGATTACATAATCTACTTAACTTACTAAGTTCGACATCACTTAGCTGCTACTAGAATACTCAGGTGCAACCTGTTGTACTAACCAAAAGGCTAGGACAATTAGTCTAACTGTATTAAAGAAAACTTCACTAACTTGTTTTTTTCTTTTTAATTTCTTTTTTAATCGTTTCTTCTACTAATACTATTATTTATTTTTTTTTTCTTTTTTTTTTTTTTCTTTTTTGCAAGCAATGCTTTTTTCTTTTTATCTGTTTAGGTTTTTACTTTTGATACTTTTTCTTCTACCTTATTTCTTTTTAACTTCATATAATTTTTTTACTTTTTTTCTAAAGAATTATCTTTTCACATCATCAGTTTTATATGATCTTTGCAAAGTTTTTTTG